AAACAACCCACAGTGGTCCTGTACAAAAAAACCACAGAAAATGTTTTCGGAGTGGAAGTGCCGCCGCCAGGAAACAGACTGTTCTGTCCCACCCACACCTACAGCAAACAGCCAAAAGCATTTCCCAACCCCTTCTAATTAAGAAAAAAACACTCCTCCAAAGATGCATTTGCATGCCAAGGAAAACCTGAGTTATGAGTCCTGGAAAGTTAAGAATTTAATAGGAAAATGCTGACGGGCTTAATTAAAACAGACGCTACGAGAACCTGACACTCTCCTTCACCGCAGCGAGCCCAAGGCAAGGTCTCAGAGCCCCACGAAGGGCACGAGCTGCCACCCAGCCTCACCGGCACGCGAGCGGCACTTCACTCGCTGGATGCTCATTATTCATTTGGGGTGACGGGAAATCCTCCTCCCCAAAAGGCTCTGAAGCAGCCCCACCACCCCAGTTCTCCCCAGCTCTCCCGCCTGGGGAAGGCCCCTCCTAGGGCTGCACTGCAGGACCGGGATGCCTGGGGATGACTCCGGCCAGCGCAGCGGGCGGCACCGACCCGCCTGGCACACCCGGTCCAGCAGCGCTGGCGGGGTTTGGCACACCACGAGCCCCATCTGCTGGCAGCTGCCAGCTCTTCCAGCCCCCGCCAGCTCTCCCAGCAGCTCCCCAAAACCGCAGCTCCTCTGCAGAGGCAGGAGGGGACTGGGGACCCACCACCCTAGGAGCAGGACTGAAATACCCGACAGGGCATGGGGCCACCCTGAGAAGTCTCACTATGGGGACAGTAGTGACACAGCCCCTTCATGGACACACAAGTCCCATTCCAGCTCCTGCGTCCCTGCAGAGCTCTCAGGCACCAAGCCTGGCCCTGGATGGGGAACTTACAGCCGTTATGGAGGGCTTCTTCCCATCTCCTGCTGGCGGGTGAGTGACATCGGCCCCCAGGAAGATCACCGGCTGCTGAAAGACGGCAGAGCTGGTGGGAGAGAAGAGAAAGCAGCAGTCAGCCTTTCGGGGCCATCCCAGGGTGATGCACAGTCCAAAGGAGGCGAGCAGATCACACAGAGGACATCTCCTGACCTCCGGGCTCTGGCCTGCACACATCAACAGCTCGTTACAAGGGGAGACAGGCTGCAAACCCCCATTTCAAACAGTTACTTTACGCAGCCGCCCACAGGCCCCCTTTTCCCCAGGTAAAGCCAGGCAGGCAGCACCATGAGGGACTTGGGAAACAAGCCCCAAAAATGCGAGAGGCAGCAGCCGTACGAACCGCTGGTGAGGCACAAGGATGTTGTTGATCCCGCCAAGCTTGACGTTGATCTTGAGGCAGAGGTTGGAAAGGGTCTGCGGGGAGGTTTTCACCACGTTCTTGACCTGGACGCACTGCGTGGCCATTCCCAGGAGGGTGTCCCCAACGCGCTTCACCTCGGCTGCGGGCAGAGGAAGCAGGTGAACAGACCGGCAATCAGCAACGCACCGCTTCCAGCAGCATCCTTGGAAACGGGGAGAGAAATCACCGCGGGAGGAGCAGAGCCAGCCCTGCCGAGCGAGAGCAAAGCCCCTCTCCTCTCCGTGCTCGCCCCTGCCCCAGACGCACCGTACACCGGTGTTTTCCCTGGCAGGATGACAATGATGAGCTGAAGCCCTGAATAGGTGTTCTTGAGGTGTCGAAACATGGGCTCCACACTGTCTGCACCCTGGGCGTATTTACAGAAACAGGGCTGGCCTTGGATCGGCATCCCTGCATCTTTGGAGATCTTCCGCAGCTGGTCTGTAAAGTTCCTGTGCCCGGGAGGAGAAGCATTCAGCCCTGAGCCCTTCCGCACGGCAGCTCTGCCGCACACGCCGGCCACCGAGCGAGACGGGACCTGCGGCCAGAGTGCTGCGGCACAGGACAGAGACGGGGACATCACATCACCATGTCTGTGGTTTTACAGCATCCAGCAAGCGCACGGCATGGGAAACACAAGACCAACACGTGTTAGAGCTGAACCGTCCCCTCTTGGTACCCTCTTACCCAGGTACTGACTCTTCCTGAAGAGTGACGGAGCTGTCAGCCATTCTCCGTTAGACAGCTGGAGAAGCGGGGAGCAGACCTGCTTGATTTCCAGATGATTTGCAAACCTGATGCAAGCCTTCACTTACCAAACCGGACAAAGTGCTCAGCCACACTCTGGATTTTTGGATTGCCAAGGATAAATTTGATGCAGGGAGAGCCAAAGGGAGCGCAGGGCTCCCAGCTCTGCCTCAAAGGGGTCACAAGAGGACTGCGGCGTCACTCCCACCTCCACCCAGCTACTGCAGATGTAGAGCCTCTGAGCTGCTCCAAACCATCCCAAACGTTAACTGTGCCAAACACCCAGAAGAGGCACACAAAACGTTCGCCTTGATGCACCCACTCTAGGTCAGCAGAAAGCCAAGTCCCTGGAAGAATCCAAAACCAAGGTGACCATTTCCCTAAATCGAACAAACTGTCCCCACTCTGTGTCACTTTGCTACCAAAGCAGAGCATCTCTAAAAGCTACCAAAGCCTTTCAGAAAGCCTAAGACTTCTCTGTAATAAAAACCCATGGTGAGTTAGGATGCTTCCTGCATGAATTATGTTATTTCAGAAAGGATACTCGGGAAACTTTTAATTAAATATCCCTCACAACCCCATCTCTCCGCAAGATTCAGCCGAGAAGAGTTCAATACAGTTTTAGGGCTGGCAGTATCAGATCACGATACTGCAGCCACCCGATGCAAAGAGCAGATCGAGCAGACCCTGACTGTCAGCTCACACACGCTGGAGTGCCCACGTGCTCACTCCCACCTGGCAGGCTTTGCGATGGCTCTGGGACTGTTCGCAGCCAGGATAAACAGCCAGGCACTCTGGATAAACTAACAGAAACAAGACTGAACACCCAGTCCGAACCCGGATCAAAGTTGTACCACGAGCAATTCAGATCCAGCGTTAACGACGAAGGGTGTGGAGACCCAGGCTGGGAGCAGCAGGGCGGCCGCACCACGAGCCACGGCTTCCCCACGTCATCCCACCCACGCGGGCTGCCCCTTTCCTTACTTCAGCACCTCCTCTCGACACTGCTTCTGCGGGGCAAAGCAAGCAATCGCCCAGACTTTGATCTCAATGCCGTTGTAGAACTGCTTCCCTCGCATGTCCCACACGCCTTGGTTGGGAGTTGCAATGGCCCGGTTCTGCAAGGCAAACAGACGGTCAGAGCGCTGCCGCGTCCTGCCCGGCCCCGCGCCGGCAGCCCCTGGGGAGTACCCGCACGTGCCCTGGTTGTGCTCCCCATCACAAAGCCGTACACCCTCGCCGGAGCCAAGTCCCTGCACTGCCGGGGTCTGCCGCGGCACGCGGTGACAGGCAATTCAGAATCTCAGCTCCTCAAAGGTGATGGAAAATTCACCCAAGCTGCCTTACCCTGAGCATCCCTCTCCCCTTCAGCTCACTTTTTTTGTCACCAGATGACTCTTGGCTACGCTTTCAGAACAGTTATATTGCAAAAAAAAAAAAAAAAGAAAAAACACAACCCAAAACCCAAGCCCAAGGCGCTCTGATAAAAAATTCCACCTCTAACCTACAAACCTGAAGGCAGCACAAGTTTTGTTCAGAAACAGCATTTTCTGGTGTGAAAGCATCTCTCTGCACAACGCAGCCCAGCACCCGGGCAGCGCAGCCCTGCTTACCCTGCCTCCGTACTGCAGGATGGGCGCCGGCAGGACCCTCCCCGTCACCTCCGTCATGTCATCTTTCACCTTGATCCCAAACTCCTGAATGTACGGATCCAGGTTGTAGCTGGCGTTCTTCATCTGCAGAGGGAAGGAAGGGCCACGGGAGGGAGTGAGACCAACTGCTGCATCCCGCGCAGCTTCAGCTGGCTGGGAAATACGGGCACCTAAAGTCATGTTCTCTACAGAGCCAAAATCCTCTCCGTAAGGGGACGGCAAGTGGTTCAACACAAAGGGCCAAACCCTGTCCTCCAAACCGACCCACAGGGGACCCGATTTTTGAACGCACTGACCAACGCAACCAAGAGCGGAGCCTGCTCCTGAGATTTAAGGCTTCAGTGGGAAGGTTCAGACTGGCAAGAGACCATTACCAAGAGTCCCAGAAAGAACATCAAAACCCCCAGCTTCAAAAGCCCAGAGACATCGGTTTGGGTAACAGCACCATTAACCAGCTCCTGCCCGGCCGCTGGCAGAGCCGGGTTTGCCGTTCCCCTGGCTTGCCCCAGGCTGACCTGCAGGCAGAGTTCCCGTACCGCAGCCCCACAACGCGCAGTCCCCACGTACACCCACAGCCAGGGTCATTTCTCTAATTTGTTTTCCTATTTTTAGTTCCAGCTCCCTTTGGGTCAGGTTCCATCAGCGCGAGGACCTGAATTTGCTGCACACGAGTTTCCACGGTCACTTTGAGCTGGGCTCCTCTATGCAAGTGTGTATTGCACACATGCGGGCATCTGTCACCGGGGGTTCAGTGAGAAGAGGGGGATAAAACCAAGCCATTAACCCCACCAGCATCTTCTGAGCAGGTCGCAGCTCTCCAGTGCAGAGCAGCTGAGGAGCAGGATCACAACAAGGTTCATCACAGACATGACACCGTAGCCTGCCATCAGAGCCCCGGCCCCGACACCGTCCCTCCCAGGGACTCGTGCCACGTACCAGGCGACTAATTTCCTCCTGCCTGTCTGGGGCAGACCTGGCTGTTGCTTTTATCATGGTTGACGTTTGATTGTCTGTGAGCTTCTTGATGCACCGCTGGCCTGCCACGATGTTGCACACCTGCACGGCAGGGGAGAGACAGCAGCCACACATTAGGGACAGGTGACACATGGGGGACCACGGCTAAGCTGCCGCGTGGGTACAGCACTCGGGCCCTGCGGACAGCCCCAAACCAGAGGTGCCGAGCCTGCAGCTGCAGGAAAATGGCATTTTTACAGCATGGTCTCCTCCCTCACTTACTAGAAGTGGCTCTTGCCAGGTCAACATTGAGGCAACTAGTGCCCACACACATTAGCTGCAGAATATTGTCGTGCATCTGCCAGCAAAGGCCACTTGGCTTTGCTTTGCACGGTGCCCAAAAGCCGGGGAGCCCAACGGTGCAGAGCTGGCACTCACCTCCAAGGGCAGGTACGTGTGCTTCTGCTCCTGGCCAACCTGGAGACAGGGCAGGTGGGGATATTTCAGCTGCAGGTTGTACTTCTGCTTAAAGTACTGAGCCACTGTGCACTCCACTGTCTGACCGCTCTCCAGCTGCAGGGGAAACCTGGCAGAGGCAGGACACGAAGGATGCACCTACTCAAAACAGACACTTCCAGACCTCAAGCACTACTTAATCTGGCTGGGAAGAGAGGGAACTGGCAGGCTCCCACTCTGAGCTACCATAAAAGAAAATAAAAAGCACAACAGTGGTATTTTCAGAAATCAAGTCAGGAATACTCTGATCCCAGTGTGGAACTGAGGTCCCTAAATAAAGCTCTCCCTCACTAATCCAGCTAATCAGGGCAAATGTTTATTGCAGGACATGCCACGCATGCCACTGTCAGGTACACAAATACAGCACGCTGCCACTCGGGAGGAATTCTGTGCTTGGTGCCCTCCCCGGGAGCCGAGCTGAGCTCCAGGCAAAGGTTAACCGGCCTCTCCTGGTACGGGGCAGCGGCTCTGGGGTGGGCAGAGCACGGGGGGCAGGAGGGGTGCATCTCCCTTCAAAACCACAGGGGGGAAAAAAAAAAAAATCAGACTTGCCAGTGGCAGGGCTGAGGGGTGCCGTGCCGCCCATAGCCGGAGCGCGTGATACCCAGCCTCACCCAGCACCAGCTGTTCCTGGCTCCATAAAGAGCTCCGTGAAAATGAAGAATTGACCCGATATTCTTTATGGAGCCAAAATTAGAAGGCGAGCCA